CAACCCTGGGGAGGGTGGCAGAAAGAGCCCTGCACTTTCTGGGCTGCACTGTGGGCAGCGTCCATCCCTGGGCTCCTTATCAAAGGCTCTCGGGTCTCTCTGCACAGGAGCCTCTCCTCCCAGCCAGGCCCGAGAGACCTTTGTCCCTGGTCTCCTAGCATCCATCCTTTCTGCTGCCCATCTCTCATGCTATCCCATGTTCCCACAGCCCTTCCTCATTGCACAAGCAACACTCTTTCTTAGAATGTATCTCTCTGCCTGTGTTCCCTCTAGCTGTTCCCTCAGCTCTGTAAGGCAAACTTCTGCTCAACTGTTGTTATGGTTTATATCTAGATGTCTCCCCGAAGCCTGACACACTCATAGGTGGGGAATCTGGGAGGTGACTGCTTCATGGAGGCGTGACATTCCATTAGAGCTAATGTGATGCTGGGAGGTGGAGCGTGGTTGGAGGAGGTGGGTCACGGGGGGCGTGGCTATCCCCCCTTCCTCCCTTGATCTCTCTGCTTCCTGCTGCCATGCCATGAGCTGTTTCTCCTCTCTGAGGCCCCTCTGCCATGCCACCCTGCTTTGGAGCCAGTGACTATGGACTGAAACCTCTACAAACTGTGAACCAAAATAAACCTTTCCTCCTTTAACTTGTGGGTGTTGGGTATTATGTCCCAGCAATGAGAAAGTAACTAAGACAAGCCCCACATCATTCCTCCTCTTCCAGGAAGCATTCCCAGACCCCAAGCGCAGGAGAGACAGACCCCAGTTATAGTTACGCACTTGTTTTGTATACTTCTCCAAGTCAGTCCACACACCTCTTTCATAGTACTTAGAATATTTTTGGGGGGTGGGGTACTGGGGATCAAACTCGGGACCTTGCCCTTTCGAGGCAGGCGGCAGAACCACTGAGCTAAATTCCCGGCCCCAGTACTTAGAATATTAATGATAATAACGGCTAAATGCTTACTAATCCTTTATTACCTACTAGGCAATAGTCTAGGCACTTTACAAATACTGTCTTATCTAAGCCTCACAATAAATCTATGAAGCAGGTACAATTACTACCCTCGTTTTGTAGAGAATGCTACAGAGATATGAAGTAACTTGCCCAAGGCCACAGAGCTCTTAAGAGGCTAAAAGATACCTAGATAAGTATGTGTGCCTAGCACATACTACCTGTTCAATAATTATTCATTTCATGAATTATTTAGGAAGTGAGTAAATATAGCAACAATGATACTTCTGTCTCCATTACACAAAGCTCAAGTGAGAATCACTTCTTTACCTCTTTCAGACCATCTTTCCTGGTTAAGGTAGAAGGCACGAAAAACACCTGTGGATGGATGAATGAATGAAGGAATGTAAAAGCAAAACAAGAAAGAACTCAAATTCTAGAGGGGCCACTCCCCACTCCAGCTAAAGACTTCAGCTTCCCAGCCCCTGTTTATTACCTGTTGAATGCAGAGATGGTACTCGGAATTCTCTTTAATTCCTCCAAGCTTTAAGGATTTATATAGGAAATGACCAGAGCCCACGGCAAATTCCACACCAATTTACGCACTGTAGGCCTCCTGGCTGCTTTCCCTGGTAACACCACCCAGTCGGCTGTGACACCTGAGCCAGGTGTTGGCCTATGCAGAGCCTCTATCACTCCTGAGAGAAGTAATTTGGCTTGGTCCTTGGTTTACCCCATTCTGATCCAGAGTCACATCCAGGAAAAGAATTATCCAGTACCTAATGAAAGCCTCATTAAAGAATAATTGATAATAAACAATGATAGCCAATTAGCTTGTGCAACTGGCACCGGAACCACTGCTCCCAAGACCATCTGGGTCATTCTCCTTGTCTTGTGGTGCCCCCACCAGAGACCTCGGTCCCCATCTCCCACCACAGGAGCACATGCACATGTGTGCACACACACACTCTCCATGATGGCACAAATATAGCAGCACAGCACTCAGCACACCGAGGGGCTGCTTAATGCTTGTGAGGTGCCCAAGCCCAAATCCACTCCAGATATGGCCACATCTTGGCAAAGGTCTGGGTCTGGGTGAACTGCATTCATCCCCACCCTACCCTTGCCTAATCAGGAGCTTGGCATTGTGCCTGGCACCTGACATACCTGCATTATTTGGCTTAGCATGAGCCGCCACATGTGTGCCAAGGCCCAGTATTTCTTGTTTGGCTGATACTAATCGTAAACCATTACACCAAAAGAAATGTAAATGCGATGTGTAAGCCACACAGTGCCTGTTCACATGGCAGGAGGGCCAGGTCCCCTCTGCTGTGGTTTTGCCTCACTCACAATGAGAAGCCTGAGCACTGGCCTTGTGGAGCTGGCCATTAACCACCCACAAGGGAATCCAACACAGGGCTCCCCTGGGCCATAACCACAGCAAAAGCAAAAGGTCACTGTGGAGGACACCTCTGTCTGTCCTGCACACCCATGGCCTCGGGGACCTGCTCTCTATTCAGGTCAACCAGGTGGTGCCTTGAAAGACCTGCCAAGCACAGTAGGCAGTGGCCTTGGCTTTGGCCGGCATTGCCCAGGAGCAGGCTCATCAGAAGCCCTCCTTGAGATTGTTTCAGTATTGAGCTGGAACAGAAAGGTTTTGGCCTTATGGGTTCTGTCCACCATGGACGGAAATCATCTGCAGGTGGGAAGAATAGAGCCAGCATGGAGAAGATCATCCAAGACGTGGCTGGAAGGAGAGAGGGTGGGGAGCCTGAATGCCTGCACCTCTGGCTGCCATGGGTTCATGATGCCCCTGTTCTGTTGGTTACTCGGAGCTGGCTTTCTGCAGTGTGCATCTCAGAGACCTCACACAGTCATGGCCCATCCTCAGCATTCATTTTCCAACGTGTCTTCTCCTCCTCAGAGGGAAGAGATGGGCTATTGCACATTTGAAATGTCTGTTCCTCTAAGAAAGGCATACAAATTCGTGACAAGAACACTCATACTCAGCATCGCTAACTAAAGATCTTTTCTTTCTCTTTGTATCTCAGGTGCCAGCAGTGATCTGGCAACCATGAGATGTGAGGGCTCTGCTATTTCACGTCATCGGAGCTTGTAAAATAGGGGCTGGCCAGACAAGCCAGATAACCACACAGGTAGTGAATATGTGTGTGTGTGTGTGTGTGTGTGTGTGTGTGTGTGTGTGTGTGTGTGAGTGAGAGAGAGAGAGAGAGAGAGAGAGAGAGAGAGAGAGGCACTGGGGAATGAAAACCAGGGGTACACTACACTGAACTACATCCCTACCCCTTTTTTATTTGCTACATGGTCTGGCTGAGTTGCCTAGGCTGCCTTCAAGATTGTGATCCTCCTGACGCAGCCCCCAAAGTACTGGGATTACAGGTATATGCTACCATGCTTAGCCCCACTAGTGATCTTTGAAAGAAGGTTATTTTCATAGTGGCCAGTCTTCAGTTCATACCTCTGACAGTGAAGAAGGTTCACCTTTAGGTCACCAAGAAAGACCTGCATTCACAAAGTGGGCCGATGACGTATCATAATAAACAGGAATTCTGAAAACCCCCTATGACAGTGCATCATGCCACTAGGCCACCTGACTTCCTTTACGGGCCTGTATGTATGCACCGGGCTGTACGTGGGACCTCTTTTAAAAGACAGCCACCGCATACAATTACTGAGAAGGATAACTCTGAAAGCTAAGCATGCCCCCTCTTCTATCTTGGAAGAGCTGCCCTGTGAACTAGGATCAATGAAGTTACAACTAGGGAGGGAGGCACTGCCCCACTCCTTCTCCCCCTTTTCCTTTCCACCCCCATGTCCCCTACCCAAGGCTGGAGCATGGAAGGTAATGGCAGAGCCTGCCTGGACAGCTCTGTGGTTGGGATGGAGGGGCTGGTCTAGTCCAGCCCTATGCAATGCTCTTCCTGTGCCCTGGACAGTCAGCATGTCCTGGGCTCCGGGGAACTGGGCAGCTGTCTCCCTAGGGCAGTGGAAAGCAGCCATATCCCACAGTAGACTCAGCAGCTCCTCCTGACCAAAACAAAAATACAACAGGCCCCATTGCCATGGAGAGTTCAAGCCTCTTGTCCTGGGATTGGCACGGACTGGAATTCCAAGGGCTCTGGCTGAGCTACCTCCCGAGAGATCTAAATACAGCACGTTCAGTCTTAACCTAAACACGCTACCTGGACCCATGCCCAGGGCTGACAGCCCCCCACAGCCAGCCGGCAGGTCTCAACCTCTCGCTGCTGGCTGGTGGTGGGCATGGCAGAGGTGTCGGGGTTGGATGCTCTGTGTCGCTGTCAGCCCTGTGGGCATGGGAGCTGCCTCAGATCAAGCAATGGGGTGGGTTAACTGTAGTGTGATCCTACGAGGAGCAGTCCATCTGGGAAGGGGTGGTGAGGTGGGGAACTCAAGTGCTCAGAGGAAGGGAAAGGAACAGGAGGACAGGACCAAGAGCCTACTTCTTAGTCAACTCATTAAAAACCAGGGGATCTTTCTGAAATATTTGCTTGCAGAGAGACACAGCTCTCCACTTACGCCTCTCTTGGGATGTAGGGCCCAAGCCCTAGAACCAAACAGACTGATTGCCTTCCAGTTGTGTGGCCTTGGAAAAATAACTGACTTCTCGGTGTCCACATCTCTAAACTGGCCCTCGGGACCACTGCAGGTGTTCAATGAGATCTTAGACATAATGTGCAGAGCACATAAAAGCTGCTTAGTAAGCAGTGGCCACTGGAGAAGAGCAGTAGAATGAGGGCAAGTCTTTGCCCCATTTCCTCAGCCTTGCCTTTGGTTTTCCTTTCTGAGAGGGGACACAAGAGGGGAGTTGCAGCCGCCACACTAAGATGGAAACCTCCAGCCAGGGGGAGCTGAGCTCGTGGAGACAAAGGAAACCTTCAGATGAGCAGAACAACACAACATTCACACCTACATCTACTAAGTGCCTTAAAAGAGCCCAGTGGCAACAGACCCAAGTCCCAAATGTCACCCTGCTGTTCTGGGGCAGGGCTGAGGATGTCTACTCAGGCTGGCTTACCTTGGTGTTCATGCACGCCTTCCCTCGCTTGTACTCTTTGTGGGAGCCACGCTTGTCCAGTTTGTACCACAGGGCTTTGGCCTTCCAGGTGGTCACCTTGGACTTGAGCTTGGAGTAGAAGTTCCTGTGGTCCAGAGGGTCTAGGTCCAGGTGGCGCGTGAGGATGTTGAAGGCCTGGAGGGTGCCTTTGCACGTGGAAGCCTGGACAAAGTTCTCAAAAACCTGCCCCGCCTGGGCCTGCTTCTCATCCTCATTCTCGCCCATGGCGGAGCGGGTTTGTGGAGCAGCGGCGGAGAGACGACAAGGAGGGTCAGCATGAATCACTGGGGATGCGTCCCACCTGCAATGGAGGTGCAGACAGGTAAGCTTGGTGGGCACCAGTGCAGGGTGGGGATGGGGGTGTGGCGAGGAAAAGGAAATGCCTGTACGATACTAAAGTGCTAATCCTGATTCTTAACACTGAACAATATGCAATCCCGTTTGCCCTTGCTGCCAATCTCTTTCCCCTGCAGCACCCACTCCTCACTCTGCCCACGAAGAACCAGAGATCGCACAAGGCTATGTGTGCCCTGGCTAGTGTCAACAGTGCCTGGTCAGCATTGCTACAAGCCCAGTGGCTCCGGAAATAGTGACAAGTGGAAGGAAAAAGCCAGAAAAAGACTGGCGACTCAGCTCCATTGAAAACCTACTGTTCTCGGTGCTACAAGCTGATTGACTAATACGCATGCACCAGCACCACGTCTCCTTCGTGCACCGACAGAGGCTCACAGCACATTCCACTCTGAGTTTCACAACCATCCCACCTGTCCTTAGACGTGACATTTTAAAGTCTTGCCTCACTGTCACCCGAGGGCAGGTGTTTCCCCTACACAGGTGCCAAAGGCAACTCCCCAAAACTTCTCTCTGCTTCTGGGCTCTGTAGGAAGCACGCATCTCCCTCCAGCAGAGGCTCAGAGGACGGAGACATGTGGGCATGGACAAAAGGAGCCAGTGCTTTCTGAGCAGGCAGGGCGCCATCTGGAACAAGTGCTCGGGCTGATGGAAGGGAAAATGCAATGGGTGTACATGCACATCATGAAAATAGCTTGCCTGGGTTTTGGCCACGAACCTCTCCCTGCACCACTCTAACCTCAGACATTTCTGAGGAAAGTCATTTAGGTTTCAAAGGAACAAAAATAAAGTAGAGCTGATTTTCCCAAGCACTAGCTATTTTTCCAGAATCCAAAGCTAGCTCAAGAAGGCCAGTGTGGGAGGGCTGAAGCTGGCCCAGCTGTCAGGGGGACTGAGGGGTCTGTAAACAGGGGGGCTCAGCAGATGAAGCTCCCCACAGGACCAGGCAAGAGAAGTTGGCAAGCACGTGGAGCATACAGCCCTTGGGATAGTGTCGTGCTTCCTAAATGAGGACAGCTGTCTAGGACACATGGGGATGGGAGGCTGGTTTTACAATACTAAAAGCAGAGAATGATGTTTATTTTGGTCTCTAATCTCTCATTCATTCATTCAGCAATAATTACTGGTGCCCTAGCAAGCGTCAGGCCTCGTTCTAGGTCCTGGGGATACAGAAATGGCCAACAGAGGTCAGGCGAGGCAGGGAGACAAGAGAGTGGATTGCAAGCCAGGAGCCAAGTGCTCAAAGACTGTTAAAAAGAGCAGGGAGCCCAGAGCAGCAGGTCCCCATAGAGCCTCAAGGAGTCCACCAAGAGCAAAATGCCAAAAAAGCTCGGGTTCTAGGAATGAGGAGGATTTCTCTATAAGACAGGAGAGTGGACATTTCGGGCCAAGGAGACACCAGACAGAAGGCAGAATCTGGAAGGGCCCAGAGCGATGGTAAATTCAAGGTGTCAGCAGTTCAGGATTCCTGAGAAGGTGTGCCAGGGATGCACAGGTACTGGGGTAGACTATGGTGTGTGCTTTCCAGGCCAGCGGGCACTGACAGCTCAAATAGGACCCTGCCCTCCCTTCTGCCTCCCTCAGGAGCTTCCAGCAGAGTGCTGGGCTGGAGGCCCAGGAGCACATACCCTTTGCTCCAGGCTTTGCTGGTTTGCACACCTGAGTCAGGCCCAGGTCCTCCAGCAGGCCCTACCTGGCTACCTGGTCCATGCCACTCAACAAGTTCCACAGGCTGGGAGGACTGGCTCTGCATGGCCCAGAGGAGACACAGACTCCTTCCCAGATGCTCTCTGGGCTCCTCTAAAGTCCACGATGCTCACTTTGGCATCCCTCACATAAGCACTGCTGCCTTCAGCGCCTCAACTTTCCCCCAGGTGCCACACATGTCATCCAGAGAGCACAGACAGATGGCAGGACTCATCTGCTTCTCCGAGCTGTGCAGCCTTGGGCAGATCACTAAAGCTTATCTATCTCTGGTGCCAGCTCAGGCCCAGCATGAAGAGCAGAGGCAGAGGCTGGCGGAAGCATGCATGCTGCCTGGTGTGCTGTGTGCAGACTTTTCTAAGGGTGTGCGGATTGACCCTTACCGCCCATGCAGCTGCACAGGCCTCAGGTTCTTCTGGTATGAGGGACAGATGATAATGACCTGTGTGAAGAGGAAGAAAGAAATATGGCTGCTGGTGGAGCCTGACCCCAAGAAGCACCCGCTGATGGGCTGCATCCATCTCCCTCGCAGATCGCATCTGGAGGGGGCACCAGATGGGGGGAAAAAAAAAAAAAGCTTTGTAAATGGACTCTCCAAGTTACCAACTCCTCCTTGTCTGAGATTGCACACCAGTTTTAAAGGTATCAAGCCAGATCTCACTCCCAGGCAGTAATTTACAAACTGGAAGAACTCGCTTCCTTCTCTCCAAAGAAAAATGGACAACTTAATCTTAGGGCTCCTGCACAGAAAGAGCCAAGGAGCCGAGGTGGGCGTGGGAGCTGCAGGAAGGCTCTTATCTAGGGCAAGATAAGGGAGCTGCAGGGAGACGGCCAACAGGCAGAGATAAGCGCAGCCTTGGACATGCACCCCCGCAGCCGCGCCAGGCTCAGACCTGCCTCCCTGGATCCAAACAGCTGGGTCTCAACAGTCGGGTTGCCAATTTAAGTCAAAGATGATGGTGACACCCATGGTGGGTAGCTTTCCTTGTGGGAAAACATCGGAATATTTAAGTAAATCTGGGTGTGCATCTGGTCACAAGCATTTGCTGGCTGTGTGATTGGAGGCAAGTTACCTCATCTGCCTCAACCTGTTTTCTCATCTGTAAAATGGGGATGATACTACTCACTTCCTAGGGTGATACGCAATAAAGAGATCAGATACATGATGTACTTAACACCTGGCAGCTACACGGTAACTAGCACTGCACTGCTCCTCTTCAAATGGCCGAACTATCATCAAGCCAAAAGGAAGGGGGAAAAACAGCATAATTCATGAGCTTCCCAAGACAAGGAATTATATATACTTTAAAACTACAGGACAAAGCTTTGTATTCAGAAAACCAGGGTTCAAACTCTCTTCCTGGCCAGATCACCAAACTTGTGGGTTTTAAGTCCCTTGTATGTCAAGTAAGGAACATCACTCAGCATAGCTTCAGCCATGAACTGAGACACTGAGGGAATAGGGTGATGTTGGTCAGGAACTGGAAAGAGCTGACCCAGCACCCCAAGGATTCAGTGAGTCTGAGCTTCAACCCTTTGCTTCCGGAGAACTGGTGTGTGCTACCCTTGCTTGGCACCCCAAAGAAGAAAGTCCAGGTGAACTCAGAGGATCTCGAGTGGCTGGCTCTTGGGAAGGTTTTCCCTGTCACCTACCACCCAGCTGCTGCCTTTTTGGAGTTGGATAGAGAAATGGAACCAACTAGCCAGAATATGAAAGGTTCTGAATTTTCTGGGAAATAAACAAGATGTGATGCTGTAGCTTCCAAGAATAGCCTTCAAGCAGTTTGGCCTACTGGAGTCCCTTATTTGTGGTTTTCTCCTGGCTATGTGACTTCATGAGTCAAAAGCAATTCCTTTCCCCTGTCTCTGGCCACTACAAAGTATCACCCGGGGTCTCAAAGTGCAGGTGACAGAATTGGTGATGAGCTTCATCGGTGGCATCTGGGAGACAAGTCCAAGGTTTGCAGAGTCCCCGAACCCTTCTCGTCTGGAGGAGACTCAGGAAGTCTTCTCAGTCATTCCCCGGAGAGAGGAGTTTATTCCCAAAACCTCTCTGCTTCCTGTCTCAGCCTTGAGATCACCCACAGCAGGGGGAAGCCCTCTCCATGCAGGCTGCCCCTCATGCGTGGCGCATACACGGGCTGCAACCCCTCCAGGAAGGCTGTGCACGCATTCACTGTGGGAGTCCCACCAAGGCCCTGGCTGCAACGAGGGCCTGGAAAGCCTCTGTCACCCCCGGCATGAGGCAGGAGCACTGGAAGAGACCCCAAGTCCACTATGGGCCCCGGTCTTCTCTGTCGACTCCTCCATTAGGAGCCCAAGTTCATTTGGCTCCCATCTTTCAGGCCCTAGCCGCCTTCAATGGAGAGTGGGCTCCACTGGTCCAGCTTGGAGGCCTCACACATCCCGCTTCTTCGGCCCTGCCCAGCCTCTCTTGGAGCCACGGCGTCAGGCCCTGGGATGGCCCAGTGAGTCAGCCCCCAACCCCCAATGCCTCATATATCGTGGCGTTTAAACTTGCTCCTCCAGGATTCCTACCGTGCTCCATGTATCTGCCTGGACAGCTCCGCCTCTCCTCAGGACCTTCTAGGACAGTGGTGGCACTCGTGCCACAGTGGGCTAACCGGATCACTGAAAGCTCTGTCATTGTATTTTCTTTTAATGTATGAGAGTTTTTCCTGCACTAAAACCTCCACATTCAGATTTAATTACAGTGTTGGCACTTTGTGATATAAGTGGGTTTGGGGCTGCAGTGTGGCACTCGGTCTCTAAAAAGTTCACCATCACTGGGAGAAACAAAGAACTCTGGCCAGGCACAGGAGGCTCTCCCACTGTGCACTGCCCTCAGGAGGTCAGGGGCACTGCTCAGGGGTCCCGGTGTTTCAGACACACCATGCCAGCCTCTGCCGTGAGGGCCTCATGGAACCAAGCTTGTCTGACAGGCAGAGACCTGGGGGTAGGCGGCCTCCTCAGCATCACACAGCTTGTGCGTGGGAATGCTGTGAAATGAGCCCAGGTCCATCTCACTTCAAAATCCACACTCTCGGCCATGCTCCATTTGAGCCATGACGGGGAAGCAACACGGCCTGCCTTTTTTGAAGCTGCTGTGTAAATTATGTTGGTTAGGTTCTGTAGTCTCTGAAGTTCTGGGCTTGGTGAGGCTGTAAGTGTCAGGCACAGGACGTGGCTTCACAAGTCCTCAGAAAGGACAGAGCAGTCGTTTCTGCTGGATTCCCCTATTCCCCA